TGATACTAGAAGCTATGCCACCAGTATTTTAAAAATCAGAAACATCACCCATAGTGGACAGGTTTTGCTTGAGCTTCCAGATGAACACAGACTAGGAAGAATAAGAGACGGACTACTTTTGAATAGTTAGTCACTGAAAACCTTATGAATACCAGCAGAACACTGTCAGCACCATATTATTGAATATTGAAACATAATGAAAAGCACCAGAATAAAAATGAAATGGAAACTCATAAACATCAATATTCTAGACATTAGTGAGCTGAAATGGACAAGCATTGGCCATTTTGAGTCTGACAATCACATGGTTTACTATAATGGGAATGACAAATTGAGGAGGTATGGCATCGCACTCATCATCAAAAAAAACAAGCAAAGATCTGTCTTGAAGTACAACATTGTCTGTGCTAGGATAATATCCATATGCCTACAAAGAAGACTAGTTAATAACACTGTTATTCATATTCACGCACCAAACACTAAAGCAAATGAGAATGAAATTGAAGAATTCTACCAACTTCTTCAGTCTGAAACTGATCAAACATGTAATCAAGATGCATTAATAAATCGTGACAATTGGAATGCAAAGGTTGGAAACAAGAGGATGAATCAGTAGTTGGAAAATAAGACTTTGGTGATAGAAATGATAATGTAGATCACATGATAGAATTTTGCAAGACCAATGACTTCTTCATTACAAATACCTTTTGTAAACAACATAAAAGACGACTATACACAAGGACTTCACCAGATGGAACACACAGAAATCCATCAGACTACATCTGTGGAAAGAGACAGTGGGAAAGCTCCATATCTTCAGCCAAACAGGGACTGGGGCAGACTATGGAACAGTTCATATGCAAGTTCAGGCTGAAACTGAAGAAAATTAAAACAAATCCACAAGAGCCAAAATATGAACTTGACTATATCTCACTTAAATTTAGAGATCATCTGATGAGCAGATTTGATGCATTAGACACTAAAGACCATAGACCAGAGGAGTTGTGGGATGACATCAAGAACATCACACTGGAAGAAAACAAAAGGTCATTAAGAAAACAAGAAAGAAAGAAAAGACCAAACTGGATGTCAGACGAGACTATGAAACTTGCTCTCCAGAGTAGAGATGTTAAACCAAATGGAAGAAATGAGGAGGTAAAAGAGCTGAATGTTGTTGTTAATTGCCATCGAGTTGATTCTGACCCATAGTGACCCTGGATAGGGTTGCCAAGGAGCAGCTGGTGAGCTTGAATGGAAAGCTTCAAAAGGCAGCTCAAGAAGACAAAGTCAAATATTATAATGAAATGTGCAAAGACCTGGACTTAGAAAACCAAAAGAGAAGAATACACTCAGCATTCCTCAAGCTGAGGGAAATGAAGGAAAAATTCAAGCCTCAACTTGAAAAATTAAAGGATTCTATGGGGAAAATACTGAATGATGCAGAAAGCATCAAAAGAAGATAGAAGGAATACACAGAATCACTGTACTAGAAAGAGATGGTCGATGTTCAACCATTTCAAGAGGTAGCATATGGTCAAGAGCCAATGATACTGAAAGAAGATGTCTAAGGTGCATTGAAGGGATTGGCAAAGAACAAGGCTCCAGGAATTGATGGAACACAAATTGAAATCTTTCAACAAAGTAATGCAGCACTGGAAGCACTCACTCATCTGTGCCAAAACATTTAGAAGACAACTACCTGGGCAACTGACTGAAAGAGTCACCATATACGCCCATTCCAAAAAGAGGTGACCCAACAGAATGTGGAAATAATTGGACAATATCATTAATATCCCATGCAAGCAAAATTTTACTAAAGATAATTTTTAAATGGCTGCAACCATACATTAACAGAACTTCAGAGGTTCAAGCCAGATTCAGAAGAGGATGCAGAATGAGGGATATCACTGCTGATGTCCGATGGATCTTGGCTGAAAGCAGAGAATATCAGAAAGATGTTTACCTGTGCTTTATTGACTATGTAAAGGCTTTCGATTGTATGGATCATGACAAGCTATTGACAAGGTTGCAGAGAATAAGTATTTTGGAACACTTAATTGTTCATGAGGAACCTGTACATAGACCAAGAGACAGATGTTCGAACAGAACATGGGAACACTGAATGGTTTAAAATCAGGAAAGGTGTGCACCAGGGTTGTATTCTTTCTCCATACTTATTCAATCTGTATGTTGATCAAATAATCCAAGAAGCTGGATTATATGAAGAAAAGCGTGGCATCAGGATTGGAGGAAGACTCATCAACAATCTGAAATATGCAGATGATATAACTTTGTTTGCTGAAAGTGAAGGGAACTTAAAATACTTACTGATGATGATGAAAGACCAGAAACTTCAGTATGGGTTGCACCTCAACATAAAGAAAACAAAAGTCCTCACCACTGGATCAATAAATAACATCAAGATAAATGGAAACAATATTGAAGTTGTTTTGTCAAACACTTCATTTTGCTCGGATGAACACTCATGGAAGCAGCAATCAAGAAATCAAACGATATATTGCATTATGCAAATCTGCTACACAAGACCTCTAAAAGCAAAGATGTCAGTTTAAGGACTAAGGTGTGCCTAATCCAAGCCATGGGATTTTCAATAACCTCATTTGCATGTGTAAATTGAACAGTGAATACGGAATACTGTAGAAGAATTGATGCATTTCAGTTATGATGTTGGAGGAGAATATTAAAAGTACCATGGACTGCCAAACAAACAAACAGATCTGTGTTGGAAGTACAGTCCAAATGCTCCCTGGAAGCCAGGATGACCAGACTTCGTCTCTCATATTTTTGACATATTGTCAGGAGGGACCAGTCCCTGGAGAAGGATATCCTGTTTGATAAAATTTCTCCAATGGAGAGTCGGAGAAAAAGAAGATCCTCGACAAGATGGATTAGTATGGTGGCAGCAGCAATGGGCTCAAATGTAGCAACAATTGTGAAGTTGCCTCAGGACCAGGCAGATTTTATTTCTGATGTGCACAGAGTCGCTATGAGTCGGTACCAACTCTATAGAACCTAACAACAACAAAATCTATCTCTCTAGCTAGCTACCTAGCTAGCTATATGTTGCTGTGGTGGTTCAGCCAACCTAGTGGTGCAAACCAACCTTGTGGTCCTGCACTTTATCCCACAGTGCCACACCAGGACATATGTGTGTGTGTGTGCGTGTGTGTGTGTAGTATTATAGATGCTGTTGTTAAGCGCCATTGAGTCAGTTCTGACTCACAGCAACTCTGTATAAGGTATCCAAGGAGTTTGAACCGCTGACTTTGTGGTTCAAACCAACCTTGCAAGAAAGTGCTTATCCTACAATGCCACACCAGGACTCCATATATATAATCATTTAAAAATGATAGCCAGGGTAGCCTCATTCAATATTGGGGAGATATCTGAAAAGGATTTGCCCAATTCCCACCACACCTAAGGAGTCCTAGTGTGGCACTGTAGGATAAAGCACTGGACTACTAGGTAAGTTTGAACCACACGGTTGGCTCTTCAAACTCAGAAGCCACTCCTTGGAAATCCTATATAGGACTGCTGTGTGTCAGAACCAACTCGACAGCACTTAACAACTAGTCTTCCTTCTAGTGCCTGCTACCTTTTTCTGCCTTATAATTTGCTCCACCTTCCTTAACTCCTGTCCCTTCTAGACATGAGCTTAGGGATGGGAAGGGAATGTAGGGAGCCAAAAAATATGCTTTCTCCCTTAATTTTTTCCAATCCGTTTGGGCACGCTGCTTCTTACGCCCAGAACTAACATGGAGTTCCAGTGTCTAACAGTTACCCCCACCACCTCCATAACATACATATGCAGTCAGCAGGGGAAGACTCACCTCACTGGGCTCCACAATGGCCACATTCTCTGCACCTACTTTCCTCTTCATGCGGGCAGCCATGGTGATGCCACCGCTGCCCCCACCCAGCACCAGCACCTCATAGTAGTTCTTGGCTACACAGCTAGCTCCTGTGTGCAGCTGAAGTAGGCCAGTCTGTGGGGTGCCCAGCCGACGGAAGCAAGCAAAGAGCCGGATTTGCGAGCCGGACACCATGGGAACCAGTGGGGTCATCTTTAGTGTGAGTCAGGCTAGAAGAGAACAAACAAGGCTGTGAGTACTAAGGGAGGATCTCTGTGGCACTAAAGCATTTGCTTTCAGGGAGAAAGTGGAGGCCAAGATCTGGCCACCTCTAACGGTTGCCCTTAATCTTCTCTCAACCATTTCCCCCTTTAGCCATGTTCCCAAGAGAGCTCTGTTAATAGCTAACAATTAGCTAAATTTTTCATTTATTCCCTTCATCCTTCTGTTACGCTATCTGGGATGCTGTTATGAAGGCCCTGGTAGTGTTGTGATTAAAATGCTCAGTGGCTAATGTAATGGTTGTTGATTTAAGCCTACCAGCTGCTCCCATGAGAAAAAGAGGTGGCAGCTGGTCTTGGAAACTCTATGGTGCAGTTCTGTTCTGTCCTAAAGTATTGCACTGAGTCAAACTCAATGGCAATTGGCTTGGGTTTTGTTTTTGTTGTTTGCTTGGGGGGTTGTTATTAAATACCATCAAGTCAGATCTAACTCATAGTGACCTTATATAGGGTTTCTGAGGCTTTAAATCTTCATGGGAACAGAAAGCCTCATCTTTCTCCCTTGGAGTGGCTGGTGGGCTCGAATCACAAACTCTGTGGTTCACATGCAGTCCAGTGCTAATTGTATGGCGCTATCACGCTCCCATGTTTGGGGGGTAAGATGTCGTAGATCCCTGTGTGGCACAAATGGTTTGCACTCAATTACTAACCTAAAGGTCATCAGTTCAAGTCCATCCAGAAGCACTATTGAAAAAGCCCTAGTGACTTGCTTCCAGTAGCGGTTGTGTGCTGTGGAGTAGGTTCCAACTCATAGCGACACTACATAGGGTTTCCAAGGCTGTAAATCTTTCTCCCGTGGAGCAGCTGGTAGTTTCTAACTGCTGACCTTGCGGTTAACAACCCAGTTAACACATCACACACTATGCTACCATGACTCCTTTCCATAGAGATTAGAGTCATGTGATCCATTCAGGTATCCAGTAGATATATATGGAACAGATAGATCTACTCTGCAATGCATGGGAATTAACTGGATGACAGCAGGTCAGGTTTTAGGTTTTTGCTTATTTTTTTGGTTTTGTATATTGTTTCAATCAGGTGACCTCTGCCCTTGAAGCTCTTCCCACCAATAATTTGTTTGTACCCATCCCTATCCATCCATAAAATCTAGGGCATCATCTGGTGTATCCTGGAGCCTCCCATTCTCCTCTCAAACATGCTCCTCAACTCTTTCTTTGGCTTTTCAGTCCATCAAAATTGATTTATGAGTCCACAGATAGAGACTTATATAATTCCTCACCACGAGTGGCATCTACAATCTTGCTGAAATGGGAAGAGACTAGCAAACAAACCACCAGCATGACCCACTTTCTGAACTCAGAGGTCAGATCAAGGTACACAGGGCCTCAGTCCCACTTAGAGGCCTCCTGGTTCTATGCCAGAGGAGTGCAATTTCACCAAATCACTGGATGCAGAAGTGGAAGCAAAGGTGCTCCACACCTTAAGCAATTTCAACTAGATTTTTTAAAAGCCATAAAAGGAGCCCAACCTAGCATTATAAAGTTATATTTTATGTGTAAAATCTGAACACATTGCTGATGAGTCTTTTATTATATTCAACATCAAATTACTTAATAAACAAGGAAAGCACTAGCTTACTGTTGCTGTTAAGTGGCACAAGTTGATTACAATTCATGGGGTGATGATTATATGCCATGGAGTCAGTTCCAACTCATAGGACCCCATATACGGTTTCCAAGGCTATAAATCTTTATGGGAGCAGAAAACTTCATCTTTCTCCCACAGAACAGCTGGTAGTTTGGAACTGCTGATCTTGATGTTAGAAGCCCAACTTGTAACAACCCTGTATGGGGTTTTCAAGGAGCAACTGGTGGGTTTGAACCACTGACCTTTAGTTCAAACTAACCTTGTGACCCAGTGCTTTATCCTACAGTGCCATAGCAGGACTCCAGTTTTCTACAGCTTACTTGTCAATCTGTAGTAAACAAATCCACATTTTTTCACCACATCAAAGATTCTCCTCCTTGTATGGCTGCCATCTGTCTCCACTCCTACAGCATCTTCCTACAAAATCAACGCCTCTTCAAATGTACAGTCCCTGACAGAAACAGAATACTCAGTAAACAAGGTAAGCACAGGCTTCCTTGGGCTTATGTACTAATCTGTAATGAATAGTCTCACATGTTTTATCACCTAGATATGATGTTAACTTGTTGTTAAGTACTACAAGTTGGTTCCAATTGATAGTGACCCTGTATAGAGTTTCCGAAGAGCAGCTGGTGAATTTGAATCAACTTTCGGTTAGCAGTCCAATGCTTATGCTACATTGTTGTTGTTGCTGTTACATGTTGTCAAGTTGGTTCTGACCCATAGCGACCCTATATAGAGTTTCCAAGCAGCAGCTGGTGAGCTTGAACAGTCAACCTTGCAGTTCAAATGGCTTTGTAGTCTGGAGCGTTAACCTACAGCACCACACCAGGATTCCTATACTACATTGTTGTTGTTAAGTGCCATCAAGTCGATTCTGACCCATAATGACTCTGCATAGGGTTTCCAAGGAGCAGCTGGTGAGCTTGAACCACCGACCTCGCGGTTCAAATGACTTTGCAGTCTGATGCATTAGCCCACAGCACCACACCAGGACTCCTATGCTACATTAGATGTGATTTTTTTTTGTGAAACAGTTCACTACACATTAGGTAGTAAGCACAAGTAAGCCTGTGATTACCTTGCTATTTAGGTAATTTATCCCTCAGCCAATTCAGAAACCAGTCTCTCCTTAGCAGTTCTTCAGAGAGATGCTCTTTACCTTTAGGAACAACGCTTCTACTCTGAACAGCTGAAAACATGGCTCTTTAAGATAAGCACTGAACTGTGAATCACAAGGTTGGTGATTCCAACCCACCAGCCGCTCCACAGGAAAAAGATGAGACTCTGTAAATCCTACAAAGACTTATAGCCTCAGAAACCCTATACAGGGTTGCTGAGTCAGAACTGACTTGACAGTACTTAACAACAACTTTGAGCAACCAGTGTCTTGGTATCAGGGACAGTAGAGCTTCTAAAGACAGGTTTTACTACACCATGTCCATAGAAATGACCTTACATCTGGGCGTCATCGACTTGGTATAACTGACAGGACCCAGACTCAAAACATTTCCCTCTGTGGATGGTACAATGCCCTCAAATTCCAGCATTATATTCAGTGCTTTAGGTTAAGTATTGATCAAGGAACTCTTTATTAACAGGCAAATAACCATCTGGGGAATAACACTTGTAGCTGCTAAGGTCACTAACTTCTTACTATAAATGATCTAATTATATCATTTTCCTCATTAATTAGAGAAGAAGACAGAGCATTAGAGAAGGGTGAAAATGGATAAAGCTAAGAAAGGAAGAAGGAAGGGGAAATGAGGGGGGAAGAAGGGAGAAAAGTATAAAGACTACAGCCCTGGAAAGCATATAGAGTTGTTCCTGGAGGAATGGGAAATAGAGTAATGAAGAGAAGCCAGGAATGGTCATTTTAATAAAGATCAACTCTATTCCCAGGTATGCTTTCCAGAAAGATGTTTACCTGTGTAAAGGACTTCAATTGTGTGGATCATGACAAGCTATGGACAACATTGTGAAGTATGAGTATTCCGGAACACTTAATTGTGCTCATGAGGAACTTATACATGGATCAAGAGGCAGTTGTTCAAACAGAGCTTGGGAACACTGAATGGTTTAAAATTAGGAAAGGTGTGAGACAAAGTTGTATTCTTTCATCATACTTATTCAACCTGTATGCTGAGCAAATAATTAGAGAAGCTGGGTTATATGAAGAAAAATGTGGCATCAGGATTGGAGGAAGACTCATTAACAACCTGCAATATGCAGATGATACAATCTTGTTTGCTGAAAGTGAAGAGGATTAAAATAATTACTGAATAAGATCAAAAAGCACAGTCTTCAGTATAGACTGCATCTCAATATAAAGAAAACAAAAATCCTCACCACTGGACCAATAAAAAACATTCTTATCAATGGAGAAAAGATTGAAATTGTCAAAGAATTCATTTTTCTTGGATCAACCATCAATACTCAGAGAAGCAGCAGTCAAGAAATCAAATGATGTATTGCATTAGGCAAATCTGCTGCACAAGACCTTTTTAAAGCGTTGAAGAGCAAAGATGTCAGCTTGAAGACTAAGGTACACTTGACCCAAGCTATGATATTTTCAATAACCTCATATGCATACTAAAATTGGACCATGAATAAGGAAGATCATAGAAGAATTGATGCATCTCATTATAGTGCTGGAGGAGAATATTGAAAGTGCCATGGGCTGCCAAAAGAACCAACAGATCTATGTTGGAAGTGCAGCCAAAGTGCTCCTTGGAAGCCAGGATGGCCAAACTTCATCTCTCATACTTCGGACATATTGTCAGGAGGGACCAGTCACTTGAGGAGGATATAATGTTTGGTAAGGTGGAGGGTCGGTCAGAGAAAAAGAGGAAGACCCTTAGGGAGATGAATTGGCAAAGCGGCAGCATCAATGAGCTCAAGTGTGGCAACAATTGTGAGGTTGGCCCAGGACCTGGCAATGTTTCGTTCTGTTGTGTATAGGGTCGCTATGAGTTGGTACCGACTCGATGGCACCTAACAACTATTCCCAGATTTTGGGGACCCTGACAATGTCCCCAATATGTCACATCTAAGAAGAGTCTTGAGAGGCCCACAATAAGGGTGGTGATGGTTGTTGTTGTTAAGTGCCGTCGATTCGGTTTCAACATATAGCGACCTTGTATAGGGTTTCTAAGAAGAGGCTGGTGAACTTGAACCACTGACCTTGTGATTCAAACCAACCTTGTAGTCCGGCACATTAACCCACAGTGCCACACAAGGACTTCATTATTGACATTATTGCTGCCAGTTTTAAATCAGTATGGACTTTTAGAAAAATAGCATTTATCATCATTTACCCTGCATTTTCATTTCTG